ACCACCAGCGGGTGGACAAAGGATGGGAGAGCCAGGAAAACTGGCTCGAGGAGAGATTTGATGGGGAGATGGGAGAAGGTAGCCACCAGGTATTGACAGCAAGATACGTGTGGACTTTGAAAATGTGCTTGTGTGTTTGCTTGAGGAACAGAGCCAAGCTTCGGCTTATTTCGATGACTTTGAGTTGGTGTCAGCCTGGATGTCCTCGAATGAAGCTCCTCGAAAGATGGGACCATTGTGAAGTCCAGCTTGTGTCTTGGCTACACATGTGGCAGCTGCAGTAGGGGGTTAAGAAGTTCTTGTTTTGAGAACTCCAGTAAGGATTCTGCAGAGAAAGAAGCTCGAGCAGGAGAAGAGGCGGTAGCCGTCAGGAAGGAGAAGACAGGCCACCGTTCTGACCCTCGGAAGCTGCCCTGGGGTCTAGCATTTACATCAGCAACTTCTTTTTCACTATGTCGTGACTCTTGGAAGAGACTAAGTAGTTGTCCCCCAAAACTGTTTCCTCTGAGAACACAGAGAGACTGTATCGTCCAGCCTCTCTTGCTGGTAAAGGTGGCCAAGTGACTGGGAGCTGGAAGAAATGACATGTGCCCCTTCCAAGCCTGGCCCATAAAGCCTCCTGTGCAATCATGGATGTCCTCTCTCTCCCTCTCATTTGCCCCTCAGATGCCGAGCATCTGGTGGAGGGTTCTGGGGCGCTAAGGATAACTAGTCGGAAAGAACCTGCATCCCTGAGTGACTGTGTGGAGCAGAGCTTCCTCACCAAGCCGTGCTGGGCTGTGACGGAATGAGAAATAACCTTTTATTAGGTTTTGGCTTCTTTGTTACAGCAGCTCTCTTACCCTGACTGACGCACTGTGAGATGGTGGTATTTCTCCCACTTCCATGTTGCTGCTTCTCTTTTTCCTTACTATCCTTGTCTTTCGCTCATCGCTTGAACAAAAATATATCCCAAGAGTCAGAGTTCCTCTGGCCACTTTACTCGGAGTCAGCAAGTGACCCCAAGTCCTCATCTCCCTTCTGAGCTGCAGACTCTCATCTCCAGCTGCTTAAGCTTAGCTGCCCTGTAGTTCTCGATGCTTCTAAACCTAAACTCATTACCTCGCTCCCCAAACTGGCTCTCCCTTCTAACTGTCCCTCTCACTGGCCACCAGGCTTCTCCTAGAGAGACTGGTGACGCATCTCTGTGTTCCTCAATTCCTCCCTCTCACTCCCCTTCTCTTTCCCCCACCCACCCCCGATCCTCCATCGGGTGCTCTCATGACTTTAGCTCTCTCCTCCAGCTGAGTGGTACCCCCAGCCCCTTCTCTAAGCCGGCACCCCAGGCTAAATCCACATCAACTCTTGTGTGGCCTTTTGCGATAGCTTTTTTTAAAATTAAGAAATGTTTTAAGCATACAGAAGAGTATAGAGAATAAAGCACCTACCTCTTGTGCCTATCAGCCAGCTTTGTCAAATCTAAATATTTCACTATATTTGAAAATAAAGACAAAGAGGAAAAAGTCGTTCAGATCTAGGAAATTATGTTATCTCTTACATTGTATTAGATGGAACTTATGGTGCACTTAACAACAAAAATTTATGGGCATTTTTATAGGGGGAAAAATGCTATTTTTTTTTAAAGAATACTTCATTGACTTTTAGAGAGAGAAGAAGAGAGAGGGAGAGAGAGAAAGAAGCATCGGTGTGAGAGCGTAACATCGATCGGCTGCCCCCTGCATGCCCCTAGTGGACAGTAAACCTGCAACCCGGGCTCGTGCCCTGACTGGGAATGGAACTGGCAACCTTTGGGCGCTCGAGACGATGCCCAACCAACTGAGCCACACCGGCCATGGCTCTGTGGTTATTATCATGGGGGAGCCTCAGAATTCAGAAATTTGAGGTTATCTATCTATGAATACAAGGTGGGGCAAAAGTAGGTTTACAGTTGTGAGTATTCAAAACAGAATTTATTCTTGTATTATTAATTATTGTATTATTTTTCCATATGAAAAACTGTAAACCTACTTTTGCCCCACCCTGTATATATATTTAAATAAAACATAACAGGCATATTTGAAGCCCCTTACCAGTGTACCGGGTATGAACGCATCTAGTTGAGATTTCAATTTCTTTGAACACTAGTGAAGTTGAATTGAACGTTGTTTATGTGCTTTTGGTTTTTTTAATTTTCTTGTTTGTGAATTTTTTACCTAGAATTTGCCGATTAAAAATGGTTTGGCCTTTTAATTGATTTATAAATTCTGGCTACTAACCCTTTATCAGTTGCGTGTGTTGCCAATGCTGTCTCCCTGTCTGTGGCTCACCCTTTCCTTCGTTTCTGGTGTCTTCTTTTGTACTCAAGTTTTTCACATTAACGTAGTCAAATATGTTACAAATATGTTTCCCCTTTAGGATTTGTGCTTCTCATGTCTTGCTGAAGAAATCTCCTTGTATCCTGAAGTCATAAAAACGCCTCTATTTTTTTCTAAACATTTTATTGTTTGGTTAATGACCTTTGGGTTTATAACCAGGCTGGAATTGGTTTTTGGGTAAGGCATAGGTAGGAATCTAATTTTCTTTTCCCCATATGGATAGATAGTTGTGTCTCCCTGGGGTGGGGTGGGCAGGAGAAACCCAGGTTCTCTTATCTGAGGCCACTGGTTAATTGGGACTCTCTCCCCTTGTCTCTCCAGCTGAGCCAGCCACACTCCTACTATTCCCTCTTGGTTCCTGGAGGCTTCTATCAAAAAAGGTTACCACCACCCTCCAGAACCTTTCACATTCCCCTAGCTGCGGCCATGATTGCTTTGTATTGTCATTATTTTTTCATATATCTATCTACTGTGTGCATGTGTGTGAACACACACACACACACACACACACACACCAATGAATTCTTACAAGAACAGGAATCTAGAAGCACTGTGGTTAAAACCTGTATCTAGGATCTACCATTTACTAGTTGTGTGACTTTGGGAAATTACCTAGCCTCTCTGTGCCTCAATTTTTTTCATCTGTAAAATGGGGGAAAGTACCTACCTAAGAGGAATGCCTAAGCCACTAATGCATGTGGAAGAATGCGGCCCATGAGAAGCTCTCGGTAAATGTTGGCTTACTAGAATGACTCTCTGGATCCCAGTCCCGGGCAGTGCCTGGCAGTCAGCGGGCACCCATAGTACTTGTCTAATGAATGTGACTCTAGGAGCTCTGGTCTGAGCAATCCTTTGGGTTTTGTTAGTTTTTGAGGAACCTGACCCCTGGATGATGCCTGACACTTCAGCCAGGACAATGCTAGCAAGAAGCCCAAGTCGGGGAGCCTGAGGGGAAGAGGGGCTTCCTGGTAGGTATGTAGACAGAAATATAGACCAAGACAGAGCACTGCGGGAGCCTGGAACCGTGGAGGACCGGATGTCATGAAGTGTGGTTAATGCCAATGACCTTTTCAAAGCAAGGTCGCTCAGGTGGGAGGTCAGTACAGCAATGGCCCTGCCTCCAGCAGTCAGATCTGGGCCGCAGGAGAAGGACTCGGGCAGGAAGGGCAGCGTTGAGACCTGAGCTGCGAGGTGACACTCAGAGCATCCTGTTCCCTCCTTGCCTCCTGCCTTCCTCACCCCAGTGCCTGGCGCTACAGGTTGGCATGATCTCACTCCCACAGAGCCTCAGACTGGGGACAGACCATGTCCTCAGTGCTGGGAACCTGGGAAGCGGATATCAGCAGAGATGTCACACTTGACAGGCACTTAGCCCACCTTCCTCCAGGAAGAAGACCTCGTCCTCCCACACCAGCCTGCAGACCTCAAACTGCCCACCCTTCTCTCCCACCCTTGGCTCCCTTTCTGGCCTTGACACAGCCTGACCCTCAGGTTCCACCCTGTGGGCAAGGCTGAGGTCCCACTGGGACTGAAGGTGAGCAAGGTGCTGCCTGAGGCAAACATTCCCGAAGGAGCCGCCTGAGCAGGAGGCGGCGAGCCCCCTGTCCTGGGAGAGATGGGAGCAGACTGTGACTCACTGGAATTTCACAGATGGGTCTGGTGTCCCATTGGCGGCTGGATTCGATGACCTTCAATGTCACTTTTGAGAAGCGATGAATCTGCAATTTCATTCTCCCCTGCACTGTGTCAGGATGCGCCCCTTGTGCCCACAAGGCCTGGAGTACCGGGCTCAGAGGCCCTCTTCGGAGTCTGTCTCCAGAGGGCCCTGTACAAGGACTTCGGGGACGCAGGTGGCCTCCCTTATCACTCTATTCACATGAGACACAGTTGGCCAAGGGGTCACAGTTTCCATGGAAGGCAGAAGAGCCCAGGCCAGCTCTGATGAAGCTGTGTGGGCCGCTATAGGGAAGGAAGCTCCCCCACCCTGCCCTGCCTGGCAAGGCCAAGGCTTGGGGGACCTCTGAGCAGTGGGCACTGCCAACGTCTGGCAGGGTCATTCGTGAGGATGGGTTAGAATCAGGAGGTCAAGAAGGAGAAGAGAAGCTGGGGTAACAGGGATAGAACTTTCTAGCCTGGTTTTGAGGTCCTGAGAGGACAGAGAGGGAGAGTTCTCACAAGGACAGTGGTCAATAGAGGAACTTGCTTAATTCATCAGAATTTCACAGCCTTTGGTCAGGAAGGAAGTGAGAGCCAGAGAGAGAGGTGAAGATTGGATTACTCAGAAGCATGGGGTCACAGACCCTCCCTAGTCAGACTCAGCCTTAGTAACACTCCTCCCAGACCCTGCGGAGGGAGCAGGCAGGTATCCACAAACCCCAGTACGGTCCCCACAGCCTGCCCATCACAGCCCTGACTCTCATAGCTTCTCCCCTCTGGGTTGATGAGGACTTTTCTTCCTTTGTGCTCCTTCCTCATCTCCTTTGCAGGAAAGGATGGCCCTTGCTGGTTTAGGACCTTCTCGGCCTCAAGAAGTCACCCATCACTGGGAGAGCAGCCCTATGCCTCACACAGACGCTCACCGCGAAGTGACTTCTGCCTTCAAATCCTGGGCCCCTCCTCTGGGGCAGCCAGCTCAGAGCACTGGGGTTAGTTTTTAGTGATGCTGGCATATTCCACAGCCAGAAAAAGGTCAGGTGTGGGCTTGGGGCTAGGGTGGGTGTTGACGTAGATGGACTCCTCAGGGCAGCAGGGCTTCAGGTGGGTAAGTGAGGCATAGTGGATGTCCCCGGTGTCCTCGACAGAGCCCATCTGCTGGCTGGAGCCCTGGGAATCAAAGACAAGTGGAAGTTCATTGTACAGATCACAGCCGGGAGTGGTCAGTGGCCCCCCAGGTGCCCAGAGCTGGGCTGAGATCAGGGACAGGGATAAGGTCCGGGACAGGGCGTGGATCTGGCAGAGCCTGTGGAATGGCAGAAGGCAGTGAGGTCACCATCACCGAACACGTTTAAGAGCAAGGGAGGCTACGCAGAGTGCGGCCCGCGGGCCGGCAGCACCAGCAGTGCCGTCTCAGGCTCCAGCCCAGACCCGGTAACAAAAAGTCTCTGCAGGGGGGACGGAGGGTAGCTGAGCCACAGGCCATCAGACCCACCCGATGCATCGCATTAGAAAGCTGTCTCCCACAGGGGCAAGGTCAAAAGCGGTAGGTCGGCTTTTCCCTCCTCACGGGATTTGAATTGGGAAATATATAGATGAGGCATTGGGCGCATGGTGAGTCACAGTGAGTCCAGCTTCAGGGTAAATAGAAACCGTGAGTAAACAGAAGCCAGGAAATTTTAAAAAGAACAGCAATGCTGAAAACAAAGGTACCCAGGAAAGCCGAGAGTCCCTCTGACTTGGGGCAGGATTCGTCCTCCACACAGTGTTATCCTTGTTGGTAGGAATGTCAGAGATGTGGTGGGGTTTGTCCTCGCCTGTGAAAAAACAGTCAGGTTTAGAGGACGAGCCTCTCTCTACCCCTCTCGTGGCAATTCCGGCGGGGCTGGAGGCCCTGGCCTGTAGAAGGGACCCTGACTGGGGAGAGGCTGGGTTGGGCTGGGAAACACCGTCCCGCCTGGGAGATCCCAGGCGGCCAGCACAGATCGGTGTCAGAAAGCGGACATTAGTGCTAAACTAAGGACAAACCCAAGCGGCTGCCTGCGTCTAATTTGCTTCAAACCAGTACTTGATCAGTTCTAAGTCAGCAGACACATCGCTGGGTATGTGGTTAATAAACACAGCGCTTATGTGCTGAACAAACCAACAAAAACAAAGTAAGGGTCTCAAAAGGCACCAGTCTGATCATCTGGCACAAAATGCTGCAGATTTTACACATGGTTAATGCTAATGCTTAGAACTTGGGAGGTTAAAAGGTGCTCCCAGTGCTTTCAGGAAGGCAATATTTAAACGTGAGAGCAACGATTTAAAAAGGTTACCACAAACCAGAAACATCTCTAGATAAATTTGTTTTAAAATCCTTAACGATAAAATAATGAAAAAAATATATGATCCCAAACAGATATTAGAATACCCAGTTTTAGGGAATTGGCGCTAGCCTCTCAGGCCTGTCGCCTTGCTGGTGAATGGGCGCGCTACGCCTGTCTCGTGGCTCACGGGCACCTTATGGGGCCGAGCACTGGGTGGCGTGCTCGGAGCCAGCGGGTTTACCTGCCCTGGCTCGTCCCCGGGCTTTGCGGAGGTACAGGATCAGGAGGAGGGAGAGGCCCAGCAGCAGGAAGGCCACCAACACGCTGGAGATGACATTCCAGTGGCCTGGGGGGGGGCTTTGGAACAAGGACCAGTCAGGTGAGGAAAGAAGGAGCCAAACTTCTGCAGGGAAGCCATCCCTCCCCCATGCCTGTTGTCACACAGACGCCCCCTCTGAGCCGCAGGAGGCAGCCCCACCACCCTGCAGGCCATGCAGCCTCATGGGCCGTCCCACCTCTGGGCTTGTTTCCCCCTCTGTAAAGCAGGAATGCTGACAATGCCTCCAGTTTTGCTGCTCACTGTCCCCTAACTGGCCTTCTGAGCCCCTGTTTGGGGACCTGTGCTCACCTCTCCTGCATCCTTCCCTTAACTGTTCTTGGTCCCGGCTCCTCCCCCTCAGCCCTTGGCTGTGAGATGCAGTTGACGCTCAGAGAACACTGGTGTCGTTTGACAAAGTGCTCTGTCAAATCATAATAACCGTAAGGGTAGACTTTCTTACCACATAGCAGGTTCCTAAGGAAGGGTCTGGGGTGTCAGGGGTCATGGGGGTGAGGCAGCAGCTCTAGGGGCACCGACCACTCAGCTCCACTGGCCAGCATGCCTTGGAGAAGGAACTGAGGTTTGCAGGACCCCAGGACTCGCAGTGATGGAGGGTGGAGGGAGAGGGGGGACAGAGGCAGGCAGAAAGCCAGCTGTCAGGCCAGCCGCAGGGCCTCGAGGAAGCCAGGCCACGGGCTGTAGGCACTGCAGAGAGAGCCTTTCCCTAGGCCCTGTGGCTCTGGGACAGCTCCCCTGAAAGGAGGGGAGGGGATGGGGGCAAGGGAAAGGAAAAAGTAGCACGCTTGGCACTGGGTCCTTTGTGTCCCCTGAAGCAAAATGACAATGTCTGGAGACATTTGGGGGCACCCGGGGGAGGCTTGTGCTGTCCCTGTCTAATGGGTAGCAGTCAGGGATGCTGCTGATATCCTACAACACGCAGGACAGCCCCACCCAACACAGAATTATCTAACCCCAAATGTCGATAGTGCCAAAGGTAGCAAACCCTGACGTAAGGTGGGAAAGTTATTGGCCCATTTTGCAGATGAGAAAACTGAGGCTCGAAGAGGTAAAGTGACCTGAAGCAAGCTGTCCGACCCCCACACCATCCCCTGAGAGCCAGGTGTCGGTGGGAATGTGCAGTTGGAGGCATTTGGCACAGCTGGTGATGGATGGGAGGCAATGGAGGTGTAAGGGGATGGGGGAGGGGTGCCGGTACCTGTCAATGACAGGGCTGATGGTAGAGGTCCAGGCTGTGGTCCTGGTGCTCCTGGTGCTCCTGGTGACTTGCAGTGTTGGAGCTGTGAGAGACAACAGTGAAGGGAGCACTCCTATCTGTTTGTCCCCATTACAGGGCTCCCCTTCTAGTCCCCAACCCTAGGAAGGAGGAGCCCACACATGGCCCTAGACCAAGTGAGGGCTGAGAAGCGCTACGTGTCCCGCGAATGCCCCGTGGAGGTGCCACACTGAGCTGTGCTGGGTTTCCTTCACGGTGAAGTGCCACAGGCCAAGTGGCTTTAGACGAGGTGCCGCACTGTCACCGGTACATTGATTATATTCTGTGGTCTCTTCTATTTTCATTGGTTTTGAACACGTCATGTGCTTTCCACCTGCAATGCCTCCCTCCTCTGCCCCCCAACCTTTTTTGTCTCTCCTGTACAAATTCCTGCTTATCTAACCAGGCCCATGTAGTGTCACCTTCTCCAGGGAGTCCTCCAGGAGAACCCATACTCCTGGCCTTCACCAGCAATCTGGTCCCTCCCTTCTCTGGGCCTCTATCCAATATGCCACCCCCCACGCTGCTCCATAACCCTTTATTTATGTGTCTGCTTCCAGACTGGGCTGTGGGCTCCTCCCGCACAGGATGGGGTCTCAGGTTTTTTGTTCCCCGTCCCGATCCTAGCCCCATGCCCTACATGGAGTGAGCAATGAGCCAAAGCTTGGGCAGAGAATGACGGAGCAGCTGGCCTGGGTCCCCTGCGGGGCAGGCTGGGCAGCAGGGTGGGGTCTGAGAAGGGGCTATTAAACCCCCGACCATCTCAGACAAATGTAGGGGAGCTTTGCAACTCTGTAGTTTTCAGGAGGCATCCCTGAGGGCCTCAGGGTTAGGGGCCACCTCGAACTTCCCACTCTGAGGCTTAAGGTCTCTCAAGTATCAGGGACAGGTTCAGGGTGAGGATCCAGGCCTCTGAGCCCTCAGCCACTACACCTCCCAGCCTCACCCCCAAAGTCTCATGTCTGCCTCACTGTGGCTGTCCCTTGTCTGTCCGCATTTCTTGACCCCCACCCAGTTACCTGTGACCCATCCCAAGCACAACCCTTCGAGAGAAGGTTGGGGATTAGGGTCAGGGGTAAGTGTCCGGGAATGGGCCAATCGGCCAGTCTTGCTCAAGCCTGAGGAAGCCTGATGATCGTTACC